ATAGGCTGTGGAGGGACTCCAGGACAGGTACCCCACAGATTTCCATGTCCTGCTGTGGCCTTCCTGGCACACAGTTAGAGTCTATGCTGCAGCTGCGCAGAGCTAACAGGGACAGGACAAGAAGTTCAGGAGGAGCCAGAACAGGGACTGCAGCCAGGCTCCTCTTGTTTTACACCATCCTCATCTGAGGCCCATCTTGTGTTACAGCACGTCTTTGTCCCCCTTGCCATGGCCAAGCTGGCCATCCACACCATGAAGCTGGTGGGATAGGGTAGCCGAGAGACTGTGGGGTCTCTCACCAGTCCCTTGTCCCATCACATCCTTGGGCAGAGCACAGGGCAGTTGCTGGGAGGCCACCTAGGAGTGCTGGATGCTCCACTCAGTGACCCTCCCTGGTTACCCGCAGACCCTCTTTGGAGCCTTGCAACCCTCACATCTCTACCTTTTTTTTTTAACCTGGAAGCTGATTGTTTTCTTCTGCTTTTCCCTTTTTTCTTTTAGCCCTTTGATGGCACAAGAGAGCTGGATGGTTTTGCTAGAGCCAGTCCCTGGCTAAAAGGAAAACGACAAAGTGGCAGCTGTGTAGCCTTGCCATTGACAAAGAACAGAGGAAGACGGGTGCAGGACTGTACCTCTACCTCAGCATATGACACAAAGCAGTGTTTCTTGACACCCATCCTCTACTCATGCTGCAGGGTATAATTCAAGAATCAAAACACTGAGAAAAGCAGCCATTTGAAGGAAAAGGCAAAAGACAATTTCTAACAATACTTTATTGGCCTGCATTGCAAGCATTTTTGAGGCAAAGATATCATTCACTGAGCATGCTTTCCAGTCATGAAAGACATAAATAATAATAATTACCATTATTAAATTATTTTTCTTGGCACTGCCTCAAATTTACATAGTTCTAATGATTTTGATGCATTTTCGTCTTAGAACTAAAGCTATTATAGCAAACATTGTTATCAGTGAGTTTTAAGAAATGGAAACTTCAAGCAGTACTGACATGTTCCAAGAAGCAGACCCCAAGCTCATGAGCTACCTACATCATAAAATTATTCCCTTCACTCTACAGGAATTCTTGCTTTCTTATAAGATTTTGATTTCAGTAGGGTCTTCATATGAAGTCCCTTAAAAACAAATTAATTTCCTGAGCATTGAGAGGCTCAGAAAAGTAAGCCACTGACCTCGGAGGTGTTTTAGGTGCCTGTAGCAGTGGACTAGCACCATTGGTGCTGCACTGAAAACCTACAGACATAATTTAACTCTGAGCATCCAACTTCCACAGCCGTGGCAAATCATAGAATCATAGAATGGTTAGGATTGGAAGGGACCTTAAAGATCATCTAGTTCCAACCCCCCTGCCATCAGCAGGGACATCTTCCACTAGATCAGATACATAGAAGCAGTTCCTTGGATGGTGTTGGTTTTGCTTCCATTTCTTAGGTTGTCAGCTTTAAAAGAAAGGGATGGAAATATAAACAAAAAGCTCAATTTCATCTTTACATTTTAAGTAAGAGTTTCTAAAGCTGTGATTGTGATTTGCCACTGTAAACTCAATGCTCTAATGGATCACAGCAGAATAATATATTGCATCTGGCTTCATTTGCCTCAAAAGCAGCAACAGTACTGTACATATAATCATTTTAAGATGCAAAAGTTTAAAATAAACGAGGGACCCAAGGCAACATTTTTTAGTAGGAGCATGTGCATTCCTGTATCAAAGGAGCCGATTCACAGTGTAGAATACCTAGGCCCCATAGCCTCCCATTAGTAACAACAGACAACATTTAGCTACAGGCCTTGCAGGGTTCTGGAAGAAAATGTTTGCAGCTAAGCAACACTTACAATTTCACGTTTTTGGTTTAAGACCAATGTGAAATCAGAAGCAATGATGAAAGAAGATGTCTTTAAAACATGCTGATCATCCACTAGCCTAAATACCAAAACCTCCAGAATGAGTTCAATAGAAGCATCAGCACATTTTCATGGGCAGTGCAGCAGCACACCTGAGCACTGCACTCAGTGCATTGAGGGGAGGAGTTAGCTTTAGAGGTGACTTTTTAAAACATGGCCAGCTGGCAAGGGGATTGCAGTAATCACAAGAAACAGCAAACCTCAGAGGCTTTGTTTATCATTTGCAGAAGCAAATTGCAAAATCTCATGGAATTACAGCCACTACACTTGTTTCAGAGTTCTACTGTTTGGAAGAACTTGTTAAACTTTTCTGTAACAGAGAAAACTCCACTTTGATCATTCTGAGAGTAAGCCACTTCCTAAGGGAAGACAATTTCTGGCACCTGGTGACATAGTGAAACTGAGTCCTTCACGCATAGCAGGACTGGAGATTTTGCAGCAAGCACTGCCAAAGAGCAAGCCACACTGCAGCAAAACCCAAGTAAACATTTTTTGGAAGAAAGGCAGAAGTGAGGAAGATACAAGAATGGAAAAGTGTTTGGTACATGGAGGTTGATACCACAGCTTAGTTTGTTACCCATAACCTTTTATTCAGGTTATTTTCCTCTTCCACAGGACTGAAGGAGATGCTAAAGGCTAGATACAGAAAGGATTCAAGTTTGGATCATCCTGTTCCTGACCTAAAATTATCAGATACTGTGGTTTGTAAAGTTAAGAATTATTTGCATTTAGGTGTTTCACCTCTTTACATGTGCCCAGTCTTGGTTCCCGGCTCACTCCCAGGGTCATCAGGGAGTTGTAAAGAAGACATTTCTTCTCCTAAACCTCCTAAGGACTGGATTTGCCAGACAATTCCAGCATCTCAGATGCCAGTAGGATCAAGTTGCTCAGAAAACATGGCAGACCGGTTAATTCTACACCATGCAGGGAATGGCTGCAAGGCACTCCTTTTGGTCACTACTGTTATAATTGGAAAAGTAGTTCAAAAAGAAGTTATACTGACTTAATACCTTCTCTCTCTGTGAAGGCACAAACCCATCCTTGACTAATCCATGCCCTTCCTATCTTGTGGCACTGTCCATTGCTCCTTTTGAAGTTCTACCACAACGTAGCAACAAAACCCAGGTCTCACCAGACCAGAAAGTGAGCACAAGTGTCCACTAGCCTCCATTCAAGGCTCTCACTCATGGGCAGAGAAACAAAGAGGGCTCTTCACCAGCCACTGCAAAACAACTATACATAGCTGACGGACACTTTCCCTGATCCTGCTTTTCGTTTCGGTGCAGCCATACTCACTCTTTGGTTCACTGACTTCTTTCTACAGTCTCTGGCTCAACTAATCCTTTTGTGGAGTGTGACACAGCAGTACCAGGAGGAGTGGAAGACATTTCTTAGGCAGATTAGTCTAAAAGTTATTAATGAGGAAAACTTGTGGAAGGTGAGATGTGGGTTTGGGCATGTCCCTCCCTCTCCTTAGAAGGACAAATCAAACCCACACTCTGGACCAATACTTCATGGGTCTACAATAAAGCATCTGCTATAAAAGGGTGGGTGCTGCCACTCTCCCCCTGATATAAAGGGCAGCCCTGCTCTGTGATCACAAAAGATGAGTATCAGTCCTGAATTCTCAGGATATGTTCAGGCCTGCAGATCCTCAGATCCAGATGGGAGATCTGCTGTAGCACTGAGTGAGATGTCTGAACAATGGGACTCATTCCTTCAGCAAATGGATTGCTTCGGATGGCATTCAGAGGAACTGCGACACTTAACATTCAGGTATTTACTTCTGTGAGTCACTGGGGCACACCAGGACACCAGGCACCAAGTCCCTATTCTGCACTGACCTTCTCTAGCTCCTGCTGATAAGCAAAACAACTGCTGCCCATCTAACTGAGCCTTTTGTAAACTAGATGCAAACATTTTTATCCTATTTAGCATCTCAACTGGGCATAAGCAGGTGAACAACTTCTGCCTTGTGACAGCAAAGAGATGAGAGATGTATCCTTGTTCCCAGCCTAGAGGACAGAAATACCATAGACTTGCATACAAGACAATTGTTCAATACGTTCACAAATCAATTTTATTAATTTAAAACAAAATTAATGAAGAGAAATTCTGTACACAATTGTGGACACAACACACTTATTGTACAATAAGGCCCAGATAAACTGTTTTTTTGATAAACTGATAAACATTCATAAGAAACTGGGTTTTTTTCAGTCTGTGATTGACTAAAAATTTAAAAGAGCCAAAAAAAAAAAAAAAAAAAAAAGACAACCAACCCCCCATCACTGTCTACTTTGCTTGAGGAAAAAAAATGCTAATTATAGTCTTAATTCTAAAAACTATCCACAACGTGCTCTATGTAAGTATGCGAGTACTGTGTGAATTTCAGCACTCACAGTGGGTAAAATAAAGCACATGTGCAAGTCTTAGTAGGACAAAAACCTCTCTGTTGGTAATAAAGCAATCCACAAATATTGAATTCTAGCAGCAATATGATTCCTCCAATAGAGAAGGGTGTTGTTCTGCAGCTACATTGGTGCTTTGTAGCTTTGCAGGTAGCTGTTTCAAGGCTGGTGTTCTTAGCAAAAGAAAACAAGAAGAAAAGCTGAAGAATGAATCAACAAAGCTGAGGCTTCTTTTTAATGAAGAGATTTAAATTGGGTAAAGGGAATTGGTATAATTCAAGCCAAAAAGTCAGACTAAGAGTTTATCTGACCAAGTAGCTTATGGCCTTCAAGATTAGAAAAGTCACAAGTCACAGACAGACACAGTCTAGGTTTGTCCTATAAATGGGCATAGACAAAAGCAAATTTTAACTCCTTAGCGATAACTTTTTCAGTATTTCCATTGCCGGCAATGGATGTTATATCTTAGGAAAATCTGACTCCTGGTGGAAGAGGATTAAAAAACTTAAGTGTATATGAGCATTCTTGTTCCATTTCTTCAAAATATTCCTATTTCTGATTTCTAAAAATAATGATGATGATAACTTCTTTCATTTTTGGATGAAAAAAACCCCTATTCAGTACCAAGATTCCAATTTAAGTCATGTCTTAAAATATATTTGTGTTTTCTCTCTATTTCTTTATGGAATGAATTTGCTAATTAATTTTTCAATGCTTTAAAAAAAGGCTTAACATGTTAACTTTAAAAGAGGAAACAGAAGACAGCAGAGGACTCCTCTTCAGTTGTGTTTTATCTGTATTTCCTTTGTGGGGGGAAAGAAATCAATCTTATCATAATCAGAGTAGGTAAGAGAAGAAAAAGGTAGAGAAACAGCTGAGAAGAACAAAACCAAATTCTTATTGACACTTGACATCCATGCTTTTGGTCTTGACAAATTTATCTAAAAAAATCCATTATCTACATATTTATATCCAACGCATTGATAAGGCACTGCACAACAGTTTGTGCACATGTGGCCTCATTCTTCACCAACAAGGCATTACTATCTTTCAATAGCATTTACCTTAACAATATGTAAAAGAATCATTCATTATTACAAATTTACACAAAAAAAATCTTCCTGTACATGATTGTCTCAGTGATGTACCTATTACTTTAAATTAGACATATTTTAAACTACTTTGTAATGTGCTAAAAGCAAAAGTAGTTGCTGTACCATAAGGCAAAGGCTTATAATAGCCTTTAATCCTATTATACATATCCTCAGTTATATGATGTCAAAATATAGTCTGTTCATAAATAAGTAAAGATGTACAGAGTACCCTGGGTATGAGAAACCAAAAAGTAAACCTTCTTTACAAGAAAATTACTCCACTGGTATTTTGAAAAATCTCAGTCTTCATTGTGCAATCAAGTTTGCTGTGTTGAAGAACGGTGTGTGTCACATTAAAGAGTCTAAAAACTACAAAGCATTTGCAGGTCCTTTTTTTTCTTCACAGGTATGAACCTTTTATTTCTTTTTTTTTTTTTTTTCTCCTTCTCTATTTCTTTTTGGTAGCAAATACGGTAAAGATGAGCTGTTCAAACATTTGCATGGCTTATTTTCATTGGACTCGCAGTACCAGAGTCAACAGCTGTTCTGAAGAAAAAGACATGCTCCTCCATTTACTGAAAGGGCAAGGGTTAAGACCAATTGCAGCTGTACGTCAACATGTTGAAATCACAAAGTTCTGTAGTCCAATGCTGACACAAGACACAGGCATCCCATCCACGGGCAGAAGGAGGTTCTGGGGTTTCAAAGTGCTGCTGAGCTGCTACAAGTACTCCAGTTCCAAGGCATGGTGAAGGGCCATAAGGTCAGAGTGGCTCGAGATCCTCCAAAATGGCATAGCATGCTGTGAACAGCACAGACAACATGTAAAAATAACCCCAAGCATTCTGGTATTTAGACCCACCCATTGTCTTTCGCAAGGATAAGGGAATGCTGCGAGGAGAGAAAAAGAGCTCTTAAGACCTCGAGCCCTTCACATTTATCTCTGGTTTCTCTGACCCACACCCTCAGCATAAATAGTCAGTAATAGCAAATCTATTTACCAAGACAAACAATAGCAAACATGTCAGGAGATCATAAAGAAGGGAGGGATTTCTTGTCTCTTTGTAAGAAGAACAGATTTCAGCACTTTGCAGAAGAATATATTATTTCTAAAAAAAAAATTAGGAAAAATAATCTATACAGGAAGCATGTGGGTAGTTTGAGGAAGGGGAACAGGACTTGATTAAAAAACAAAAAATAAAGGAAGTGAAAGTATTTTTTACTATCAAAACCTGTTTGTTCCTTTTGGAACTATCCCTGGCAGGTGAGTTAAGAACATAGCCACGGTGATTCAGAATAGCTCATGTGTTGCTCACATCATTTTGAAAGGAATTTTATCCCAGTAGTTTGTATAACATCTCTCATTGTTAGCACTGATCTTAAAACATCTTTTCCATATGGGACAATTCTAAAATAAATACATATTTTTTTCCTATTAGCTGTAATAAAATCTGTCTGGAGCACAAATATGTTTGCAAAGAACCTGAATAAACCAAAAACACAAATACCAGGAAAAAGCACACATTACCTCATCCATGAAGAGTAAAAATCTGATTAAGAACTCTCTTTATACTCTAAACCAGGGATTATAGTGTCAGCAATAACCTTTGCATAAATAAATAATAATAAAAAAGATAACCATCAGATTTTGTCAGGAAATATTCCATAAATCCCATGGGAAAATAGTTTCAATTCAACAGTGTTCTGAAGGCTACCACGATCGTGTTCAACCTTTTCATTGGGTCAGCTTGTGTTTTAGCATCTTTAAGAGGCAAACCACAAGCAATCCATTATCACAATAGCTTCTGAGTCCCCCAAGCATTTTATCTACAACTTCTCAGACAGGCTTTCTTCATTCTCCTTCAGCACTTCCTGAGTAAATTCCTAATTCCACTGAAATCAGTCGCAAAACTCTACCTCTTCTGATTACTACTTCTATGCTGACCTCCCTTTTACATTCAGGTCTTCTCAACAAATTTTAAGTTAGAGAACAATTTTGAAAACAATGTGAAACACTGTTTCCAGCTGCCTGTTCCCTGTAAGCCCTGTGATTTTAGCTTACATCTATCTCAGAAGGCAAACATCTTAGCACAGAGCCTGTCATAAATTTGTCTTTAGAACCTCAGGTAAACAGCTGTCTGTCAGTGTATAAATAATTATTAGTTTTAGAAGGAGCGGCAAGTCTCTCTGAAGACAAATGGCAATTGTGAAGGAACAATCAACTGTTGCTTTTGCAAGAGTCAGAGAAGACAATACTGAATTAATTAATATTAATAAGCAAGACTAAAGAGTTGTACATGATCAGCAAGGGAGCACTGTAAGGAATCTGGAAATGCGCACTCAATGCAGGACAAGTGTTAGCAAGCAGAGTTGCCCAACCAGATGGACTGCAGAGTGAAGGGCGTGGCACTGAGCACCCAGTGCCCATGTGTCAGGGTTTTCACTTCAGAACAGCTCCAGTTTGCCATCGTGGAAAAAGTGCCCATTAGCAGGTGAAGAGCATTTGGTGAGCACCTGGAGAATATACTGTTCTTTAGTTCTATCCAAAAGAAATCTATTGTGGGTTGAACCAGTAAGAACAAAACAAAATTAAAATTCCTAATCATGCTTTTCTCTGGACTCTCCAAAAGTTTCTGTGCACCTATCTCTTATTTAGGCTGCAAGATCTTCCTGGCAGAATTTATAACATCTGATAGGGATATTGCATCAAGGACAAACGGGTACAGGTTTGCGCTTGCAGCAGGTCCACGCAGTGTTTGCCAGCTGACTGCACTGGGCTGGCGATGCTCAGAAGTGCCGCCTCCCTTTCTTGTGCGGCTCCAGTTTCCCTCTTCTCTTACAAGGCCCCTGCCAGGTAGGACCTACCTGCTCTCCCTGCCAGCCAGCCACAACTACCTGCTTCTCTTAGTCAGCTTGGCACCAGCTCTGCCTCAACCACCGGGCCAGGGAGGTGTAAATAGCATACCTAAGATGTGGTGTAGCAAAGAGTTTGGTGGACACCTGCCTTTGCATAGTGTCTCTGTGGAAGCCAAGAGTCAATGACATGGACGTCCTCCAAGGTCACACAGCAAACTAATGAATAGGGAGAATTGTAGTAATAAATTCTTGGCTTCCAGCTCTCACTTTATGCAGCTCCAGCATTATACTGCTTCCCTAGTAACAACCTCAGCATCACAGAGCGTACACACACCAGGCAGCTAAGGCAGTTAAAGACCCTGATTGATTTAACAGAAGGTTTAGCTTCTGCTAAACCAAACCACAGCAATTCTTGCTAGATGCCTATATGCAATATCGAGTTTTAGATTACTCTCAGCTGTTTATGGTTAGATTTTAAACCAAAACTTTAAGTGATCATTATTTTGGCTACATCTTTCTATTTCAAATTCACTTAAGCATCCTCTGCTTTATTTATATCTGTCTGTGAAAGGAGTATACCTCCACTTACTCCATGTAGTTACAGGAGTGAGGTGTTGAATGATTCTGGAGTGTCCTACACAAAAAAAAGAAGTTGTGTAAACCTCAGGATTGTAATTATTTTCGGTTCTCCTGTACATAGGTCAAAAGACCAGCAGCACACTCCCAAGAAAAAAAGCACGCCAGGAACGCGGTGGCTGCACAGGAGTGGCACCTGCACTGGCGCTCCCTGCACAGCCGATTCAGATCTCTATCAGTCGGACCCTACGGCAAAGCCTTCATAGCCAAGAGCAGGGGAAACAAACGCGATGCAGATCTCTCTCTCTCTATATATATATGTTTGTGTATTTATATACAGTTTCACACACATATGTGTCCATATATACCCATGTGTGTTCACAGGGCATACACAGTAATTTTCACCTTATCTAAGACAGCAAATGATTATACAAAACTAAAACATTTAAAGTAACAAAATTATCATACAAAACCTTATGCATTACTCCTGTATTAACATGCCCCATTTATCCACAACTATTCAGCCCTGTCAAAAGTAGCAACACACCCATGAGACAGAAGTACCTTTTTTCTTACTAAATGACCGGGCAAGCGTTTCTTTGTGTATATGTTATACTAAATATTGCCCTTAGAAAGCCACCCCTGCCAACATTTAGCGCACATGTCATGTACAACACGTGTCTTCTATTCTGAGCACACTGAAAACTGCTAATATCTCATTTGCTGTGGTGGGAGAAAGAATGACAAATGCTAACTGCTAATACATAGCTGCTGTAACTGGACGCATTAATATCTAATGAAACTAAAAGAAAGCTTTTCTTACCGCACACTGGAGGAATATGTATTTAGACTGGTAGTAAAATAATGATTTTGTGTACTATTTCAATACCTTCCAAGAAGCTTTTTTATTTTAAAAAACATGAACTGTTTTGTAGATGATACTTGGTAATAAATACATTTATGAACTTTTTAATATTTTTTTTATGACATTTTGAAATGAAAAATGGTGGCAAAAGTTTGAATTTTATTTTGGTGTAAAAAGCATGAAAAGCAAAATTATTAATTTAGTAAATCTAATAAATATATAATAACCCAAAATATTAAGGTATTTTATTTCTGAAATAGAAGCAATATTAATTTTTCAGCATATATTTACTAGAAGAACAAAACTTCAACTATTTTATTCAACAAAATAAATTGTTTCTACTAGTACATGTGCAAAACAAAGACATTTTTTGATGGCAATACTGAAAAGTGTAGACTATCCTCCTTCCCTTAAACATACTTATACAAAAACCTTACTCCTGAGATTTGTGACAGATTTGAATAGAAAACTCATCAGCTGCTGTCATCTTTCACAGTATTTTTGTTGTGTTCCTGCCAGATTTGCTAAGCGGTCGTCTTTACTTCCTACCTCAAACCTGACCAGCACAGTGTGACTGTGAGCTTAAAAACAGTGGCATATTGGATACCCATTTATATTCTATTTATTGCTCCACAAAGATTTATGATTTTTCCTCCCAATTTCCCTCTTAGGCAGCATGATCATTTTGGAGACAAAGGGAGAAGCTGATTTGCCCAGGCTCTCCTGAATCACCTGATGTAAAATCCAGCTCCTCAGTGCAGAGAGCCTCCTCCTTTGTCTCTTCTCGCAAATTAGAAATCCTTTGGAGGATTCTCCTAAGTAGAAAAACTCAGGAGCTGGGGTTTTTTTCTGCCTTACGAGTATTTCCCAACTGTGTCTCCAAAGGCAAGGGCAAAAGAGGAGCTCAAACAAAACAAAACACAACCAAACAAAACACAGCTAAACAAAATAAAAAACAAACAAACAAACAAAAAGCACAAAAAACCCAAAGCGAAGCAAAACAAATCACCAAGACAATGGAGTCTCTGGCATAAAACCCCAGAAACTTATTCTGCGAATAGCTGTGTCACTGCAGTGGCACTCAGACACGGAGGCTCTGACCCGAACAGCACCCACACCGGTGCTGGCAGCCATCCCGAGCACCCCTTGGCTCTCACACCCATTTCTCCCTCCCCTGCTCTCGCTCTTTTCCCGGGGAAGTTGATCTAAAGGCAGCAACCTCCATGTGAACCCTAGGGTTACAGCCACCCTGACTGTGTGCTGAACTGATCCAGAAGGGTAGGATTATTCCTCAGTCTGCAATGCAAACGTCCCAAGAATTTTAATTGTCTTATAAAATATTTTGCTGGAAGTGACAGTTAAACAAAGGTGTCGATACCATGGCTTGTCCCGTGCTACATGAAACGTAAGAGCGTGCAGTTTCCTCAGTGTGTTGTATTTATTTCCTTCAATCAAAAGAGGCTTTTTATGAAAAAACAGTCTATCCTAAAAATGTTTCTCAAAAGAGCAATGATCTTCTAAATGGTATTAAAAAGTTTCTATTATTGAATTTTTACAATAATGACAATAATGAAAAGACTTTAAATGTGCCCTTTATTTTTTCTACTGTTGTACTGATTCAGGATTTTCCGTGAATGAAGGAAGGACATAAATGAAAATCCTGTTTTATGATGAAGCAATTGATAAATAATTGGTAAATTATTTTTAATAACAAATCTTAACTTTCTTACCTCCTAAGCTGGAAGTTCAGCTCCTTTTGCTAAATGAACATAGAATAAAAGATCTCTCAAATTACATAGGCTTGAATTCATATGCTCACTTAAAAATACTCATTATAGTTTATATGTAATCAATGAAGTGCTATTTAAAGAAAGATGGACTGTTTACACTCTAAGTAGTGTAAAGAAGCATACATATACTAAGGGCTTCACCACAGGCCAAACCCCTTCAGCAAAGTGCTGTGCAAAGGGTAACACAAAAGCTGTCCCTGCCCTGAGAATATCACAAAACCCAATGTGCTGATGGGATTGAATGTGGGAAGAAACCAGCTAACAAGGTTCAAGGGATAAGCAAGGCAATGGGGTACATCATGGGGCAGTTATGCCACTTCAGATTGACGGGCTTTGGGTGTTTTTGCGGGGGCACATCATCTCCTATTTTGTCTGCACACTCTCCAGAGAAGGTCTAGGCTTTTACTGTTTTCTATTATCATTTACATTTATTTCAGCAATATCATTTACTCCTTAGACAGGGCATAGGTCTTCAAACTAAAGCACAGTATATACTAGGGTGTGTTCCCATGCTCACTCCTCCTAATAACCCTAAAAACAACCAAGGAGCAGATAACCAAAAAGGCATCATCTGAGTTGGGACCAGCTCCTCATACCACAAGGCACTGTGTGGTTCTTGCTCTTGCAGAATGTGAGGGCCAAAACTTAAGAGGCAAATCCTGTTTTCAGAGCGTGAAACGGTGACTTCTTTTTTGATGGAGTAAGAAGCAGGACAAGAATCACAGAAGCATTTTCCTTAATCAAATTAATAGTTTCTGCAGAAAGGCAAGGCTGCTGGTCTACTTATTGACTTCTCTGGCACTGCTGAAGCAGATAATTTAATCCAGAGCATCTAACATGCTTTGAATCTGAAAATTCCTTCCACCGAGAAAGAATACGCAGAAGTAATGGCACAAAGGAACTTTCTATACTGCTACTCCTCTTAGCAACTGGAAAGGCTTTTACTTATGCTTTTCTGAATCATGTTTCCTGTTGAAAAAAGCATCGAATTAGATAATGTTACCAAAAGGACTACTCCTGCCATTATCATATACAACACTATTTCACTGAGCAACAGAAAAGGAACAAAGAGAAGATTTTTTTTTCACCCTGATCTTAAATGCAGCTTTTAAAATGTAATCATTTACAGCGGGAAAACATTTCTCCGCAAAGATGAAAGGCATTTCTGAAGGAGAAAGGAGCAAACTGTTCTCATCAGTCCGCCAAAGGAATATATGAAACTGAGACTCTGCGAAGTGCCGGGATGAGCTGGGAACCTACCCGCAATGCTTTAGGGGCACAAAACCCGGATTTCATGAAGCAAAACCAGTCAATGGTTGTTAAAATGCCATGCAGACTAATTAGTTTCACCTCTCCAATTTAGAAAGTTGCAGTGGAAACAGATAGAGAAGTACCACAGAGAGTTTCATGGTAAAAAAAGCAGCTGTGTAAAAGCAATTTACAGGGAAGCAAGAACAGGTTTTTAGGAATGCCCATTTTCCTACTCTTTCTCCTGTTGCTCAAATAGTCAATATTATGCCTCATTCCTCCAAGCAAAGACTCTGTATCTGCTGTACTTGGGTAGAATATCAAGGCTAGGAATACTGCCTATTATTTGTCAGTGGGAAGTATTGCATTTTATGGAGGTTACTCCACACTGGGCAAAGAAAAAACCCCATGAATTTTTCCCTTCTTCCCAGAGGAAAGAAAAAATAATAAAGACATAGTCAAACAGTATCCTCTGCTCAGTTAACTGAGGTTATGAATGCAGGGCAAGCCACAGGTAGTTACCTGAATGCAGAATCCAAATTAGGGACACACAAGAAAACTGAAATTTATGTGTATCTACTCCAGTCCTACATACCTTTTCAAGGTGTGACATACACATATTTCATACAGTCAGATAGCACATTGCCTTTGATCAGCAACAATTGCCATTTTTTGTTTATATTCATAACATCCTATGTGGTATTTTGGGATGCCAATGAAAACAGAACTATTAGTTCTTGGCACAAATCTGGGTTCCATTTTCTGGCTCCTTTTCGAAACACATCAAACATACACAGCTAGCTTAATGTGTCTTTTGGAGAACAGCAGGGCACATTATTATCTGCAGTTTTATGCAGCTTTCTACTAGATATGGTCAAAACATATTTCATAAAGCAAAGATACAAAACCGAAAAGTCAATGCATGCTGTCTCACATTGAAGAAAAGACAATTTTCCTTTCAGACTCTTGAAATCAACCCACACTGAAAAAAGACCATTACCTTTTTTGCACCTTGTTCTTCTTCGACACCATCCCCTATAACAACATACACTACTTTTCTTCCAAATCTTTGAATTATTCGCTCAAAACAACTTTCCTTTCCTGAAAGAAAAAGATCAGACTATTCAGGAGAGGTGGCGATGGGATGATATCAAATAAATAAATTTTTAGCCTGGATCTCCCCAGCACTTTGAATACATAATTAGAGCTATTGGGAGAGAAGAACCTTTTCTGTGGGATAGTGTATCGAGGCCAATTGCAGGTTTACTCCTGCCACAGCAGCTGACAAGCAACCTTAAAATCTGCTTCGTGAAGTCCTTTAGTACACACGCCATGGCAGACATAGCAGACTAGAGGTCCACAGTATCACCCTTCTTGTCTCCTTCCCTAATCTGAGACAGGTTTCAGGGACAACTTCCCTACTAGGAAAATTCTCTACCAGCTGTTTACGGTCAGTATCCAGAACTGAGCATTTTGACTGAACCTGAGTTGAAATTCTAGCTTTTTCTCCACAACCTGTGACAAGATTAATCACAGCACCTGAAGCAGTAGCATCGTGACTTAGAAGGTCACCCAAAAGATTCAGATTTAAATGCCTGTAATCCAATACACGGGGAAGCTCCTTGATCCTGCAACATTAACATGGCTTATTACTTCACTGCACAGATCTAGGGACATGATCTCAGTGCTCCAGTCCTACACATAGGTACCGATACTGGGAAGCTTCAGGTACTGCTACTGGGAAAGAATGCTTACAGTTGAGTTTTCTCAGATGTCCCCATTCTGAAAGAGCACTTCACTCTGTTCATGGAACATACTTACTCGTGTGTCTACAGCAACCAATGGAAAAAATCATGTTTTTCAAAATAAGTTATTTCAACTACAGAACAATATCAGCTTAAGAACAAATAGGTTGGAAATTCAAAAAAAAGGTTTCTAGCCAGCAGATAAGTCAAACTACTCAATGACACCCTTTAACAGTAGTGTCAGGCATAAGAAACCTCCAACACTAACTAGGCTGGAACAGTGCTTGAAAATTATGAATCATGTCACGTTACAAAAATCTCATTATTTCCCATGACGGTCAGTGACTGAACACAGTTTTTGAAAAATACCTTTCTGTCCTGTGTATGTGAAGTCACAAGTGAATATCTATTAAAATATGTTTTAATTAAAATGTGTATTTAAAGTATTATAAATTGAAGTTTTTCCAGATGCTACCAGAACATTTGTGTCCAGAAAACAGTTTTAAATCTTTTATGATAATGCTTTCAAATTTCTACATAAAGCTGTCAACCAAGTTTTTTTAAAAAAAACAAAGCCAAACAAAAATAACCCACCATTTTTTCTCAGCAATTTGAGCTTCCTGTATTATAGATACTTAAGAACACATGAAAAATGTTTTCATGTAGCCCACAATTTTGCAGGAATCTGAGACAGAACAGATATGTCATAATCACATTAAAAACTACAAGCACTGTTGCCATCTGGTCCTACATACTTCTGTATACTCAGAATAACATCTTTTATATCGAACCAGAAAACAGAAATAAACATTTGCCCAGCTGAAGCTCATTATGGTCAGTATGAATGAACTTAAATAATTACATTCTGCAGAAAAACGTTCTTGCTTCTGGTAAATTATTTACCAAAATTTGCTCCAGAGCCCTTGAAAACAAATGAAGCCAGGGCTTACCTTTACAGAATCTCTTCTGCTAATCTGGGGAGACTTCAGTGTTCTGTACTCATAGCCTACTAAAAAGTCTTCTCAACTGCTACATAGCATCAATTTTGAGAAATTAGGGCAAAGAAGCAATTATATTTCCCCTTATCAGAGGCTGCAGCAGTGTTAACAGAGCTATATGAAGTTTTCTGTGCTGGATCATGACAAACCTTTTAAACGTACTTTTAGGATGCTTTAGCATGAAAAGTGTTTCATGTCATCAGGTACTACTAATCTCTGTATTTGCTACAGTGAATGCATGTAAGAAACAAATATAGACAATATCTTTTTATTTAGAATTTCAGCTTTAAATGTATCACAACATTATAAAAATAGCTCACCTATTTTAGTTGCACTGTAAATATTCTCTATGGGAAATACAACCCCTAGTCCATACAACAAGACTTTTGCCAGAGCTGGAATTAGCTGAGTAGTAGTGACAAGAATGTTCACACAGTTTGTCCTATGGAAGAGAAAATGCAAACATCCTTTTTTTAACAAAACAAAACAGAACAAGGAAAATCTTATCCCTCCCATCAGAACCCCTCACCATTATTATTGCCACTTACAAAGAAAGAGGCTTTTTTGACCTTACAGGAGAGCAAGGTGCAGAGTGGCATGATCAGATCAGATTAACGAATGAGAAGAAGGTCCTCCACAGGACCAGGCAACCTCTTCAAGATCATGAGCAGACATCCTGAAGTTTCCTAACTACCCTGTATTCTTTGTACTCACCTCGAATGAATAAGGGTGAGTGCTTTCAGTGCAAGTGTTAACCAAGAATCCGTCAAAGCTTCAATTTCTGCTCTTAGTTGTAACCAAGCCTCTCTTTTTGCTGGACCAAGAAGACCTGTGGAGTAGATAAGGGCATGTCTGCACCTAAATTAAGCAACGTTCTGTCATTCTCCTTTGCTTTCATTAGCTCAAAGACAACTTTCCACACACTGCACACGAAACAGCTCACTAAACACTAAGAAAGTTAAGAAAGGAACAGAAATCAAAAGTTTTTCTTTTTACTACTTTGCATCTATATTTGTTATATACTTCAGAGTCACTTGCCTCCAACATTATTTTTGTAGGTATTGTATATTTCTTTTACTCGTCTGTAGCGGAAAGCCAATTTTCGCATCCAGTCCACTCCTCCACGCACCCCTGTCGCGAGGCACAAATTTGCACTGGTGGCGGCCGCGGGAAAGCCGTCTGTTCCGAAGTTATAGGTACTAGTCAGAGATAAGAAAACCCTCAGATTAACAGAAGGCAATAGGCCACATTCAACCACCAGCTACTCATTTTACTGGGTTGCAAAGGCTAAGACAGCTAAAAAGATAGCAAGCTACTGTAAGCGTTACAGCAGTTCATTGCTTTCCCAGGAAGAAACTCACAAAGCAACATTTTATCTCGTTCAGTTCTCCTGTACCTTAAATCTTGACCGTTGTCGTCTGAAGACACATCGTCAATGTGAACCTGGTCGCATTCCTAAGGCGACAGAAAGACTTTATAATTTTCTTGATCTTGCAAATCTTGAAAATAAAGCTATTAAAAACTATGAACAATCTACTCATCGGGGATATTTTTAATTGTGGAAATCAGTAGATGGCAGTCTTGTTAAAACAACCATTTTACCTATTCCTTTGTGCTTGTTTCTTAGAATAAATGCACACTATCATTAGCTACTACTGTTAAATGGCTTTCCAAAAACACATTTTTGTGTTTAGAAAGGAAAGTGGTTAAAAACAATTAGCATATGTGTTCCATAAACATTCTTATAGCCTTTCAGGTACCTTAAAACATCATACTACTCAAAGCTGATTCAGTCAGTGCATAAGTGTAACTGAAACCAGACATTTTGGTAAATGTAACATATTAGAAAAATTAAACCTGATGCTAACCGCCAATGAAATTATGACCTCTGATTGCTGTTGAGCCACACACCAACACAGCCTGAGGCCAGTGTTTCAGAGGAGTGCAGACGAAAAATCTGTTCCTAGTTTGCCATTCATTTGAGAGTTGTGAGTTTCCTTCTCTGTCTTTGGTCTTAGTGCATGAAAGCAGCATGCAAAGATGAAGAAAATCTGAACAGAAAGAGCCAAATCAAACCACCTTTCTTCAGTGACTCGTATGCAAACTAACATGGCACATTCGTAATTAGCTTTGTCCATCACTAAATTAAAAATCATAATACATATTGTTTATCCACCAAAAGACCCTTAGAACATTACTATTAACAATATAACTTTTGGCAGGAAAACAAATAAACCTCTGGCACTCTAGATCAATCTCAAGTTAAGGCTTGAAACAATAATGGATTTCAATTATTTTAATTATTTCCTCTTTTCTCTCTTAATGTGAAGTCCTGTAACAAACATGATCTATTTTAAATATGAAAATACTGCAATCCTTTACTTTTGTGTTACTGCTTTCCTCTGAACAAATTTTTCTCTCTCCATGGATTTGTGAGGAAGGGAGGGAAGACAGAAGTGGAAAGAAACTCAAACCAGCTGTTCCCTAACAGAATTAAAATCATGACCCTCAACCCTGTTTCTAAAACATCCATTTTCCAGCCAACCCTCTCCCAGCAAGCAGCAAGCTCCAAGGAGGAAAAGACTTTGACCCTATAACCTTCTCCTCCTCTCCTGAGGTCAACAACCTCAGATAAGAAAAAAGCTGAAGAAGTCTATTTGGCCTCACATGACGACAGTGAATTCTAGATTTTTAAAAACACAGGTCTATGAAAAATACCTCAGAAACTTTTCAAATGCTTTGAAGAACAAGGTGTGGTCTTTTGCACTTGTACAACATTTACTTATTCCTACTGTAGTAAGTACTCTTTTGTATTTTATGCATAGGTAGCTTATGCTAGAGAGTGAGGTAAGAGCGACAACGAGCACAGGAAAGATGATACTGCGTTTGCTCATATTTAACCACGATACAGTGAATTTCCTCCTCAGGCAGACAAAATGTATTAGATGTACAGACACAGCTGAAACTACAAGTGTGAACATATGTTTCTAGGCTTCAAAAATCAGCTTGGCTAAAAAATAGCCAGAAGCTTCTTCAGCAAGTTACCAAATTCACAGAAATGAAGTGGGTTTTTTGTTTAAAACTAAAAGTAACTGCCCATCCAAATGCCTATGAAGTTAAAGATTCAAATATAAACTGAGTGTAAGCTAATGAAGGGACATCCTCCTGAATCTGTGAGTTTCCCACTGTAGTTACTCTTCTACTGCTTAGTGATTTCCTAAAGCCTCCACGGATGGAAAACTTAAGCTTGAGTTGACAACGTAGCAGTGAAAATTATCAAGTCAATAGCCTCCTCCCCCAGCTTGGAAACTACGAATGACAACTGGAACAAGCTGCTGGAGAAGAGGATTCAAAATAGAAATCTGAAGAAAAGACACTTTTTTTTTTTTTTAGTAAACACAAAACTAAAGGAAGGAGTAGAAGATCAGCATCTCACAAAAGTGGTTGAAAGAGGGAATAACTCAACAGACTTCCAAATTCGGCGCTCTCAGGCAAAAGACAGAGGCAGGAAATATGACACAACTACATCTTAGATCGCACAGTTAGAGAGGACCTGAGGATGTGGAACTTTATGCTGCAAGGTCTTGGGACCATCACAAGCCCTAGGACATCATAGACCTTTTCCTCTTTTGTCTAACCATCTGCTTGGTAGGTAAAAAGTGAGAACTGAAATGATACATTAGAAACAAAAATCATGGCATTGAAAGAACAGAGATTTTGGAAAGAAAAACCAAGAAAAGAAATCAGAGACTAAAAATTGGTGGGATAAAGGTATAGAAACAGTGTCAAGAAAGTAAAGTGAGTAAAAGTTCACAAACATCATAAATTTCAGGTGAAATACTGATTTAATGGAGAGAGATAGTGTCCTCTTTTGTCAGGAATAAAAGAAGAAAAAAGTAAAGTCAGGAAGGGCAAAGTTAAAGCACAAGTTTAAGCAAAATTAAAGCACAAGAGATACATGTTATAATTTGGAAAGGATTAAAGACCAATGTGATTGACACTATGTTACAAGAAAAGGAAGGTCACAAACAGTGCAGGACTGTTTTGCTCCTGTTGAGTGGCAGGACACAGCTTTGAGGTTAAATGCGAGCTTTGAGTGCCAGGTATTTTTTCACGCTGTCTAGCTGAGTCGGACTTAAGGCTAATGAATGATGGGTGCATTTTTCAACCCCTGAACATGGGAAAGAAAAACACTCATTTAGCAATTGCTCTTTTAGCAGTAAAGTAATTTAGGAACAGCTCTTCAAAGCAGCCAATTAGCTGCCCCCCATTAATTGATCTGGTTCAACCTTCCTTCAGAACACCTTGTATTTGTTTTTACCTGCTTGCTTTGTGTGGAGCATTTTGTTCAGGAGCAAACACTACTTGAGACACTGTTCAGTCCCCTGATTAGTATAAGCAAGCACCCACACATTCAAGATTTTAAAACAGCAGTTTACTCAATAAGCTCCATAATCAGGTGTATGCTAAAATGAAGTTTGACACTGACCAACAAATGAGGTATACACTTCCAACCAGTACATCTTTGCAAAGATGTATTTTAATAAAAACACAGACTGATAAAACCCTCAAGGAGTTAGCAAAAAAGCTTCTGTGATGGGAGCCAACTTAGAGCTAAACAGTCATTCAGAAAAAAAAAAAATAATACTGGTTTGTTTGCAGACTTACCATTTCAAACTTCTACAGATATATTTGACACTTCTGTAAAATTTTCATAGGAAATACAGTACTAGTATTCTCCCCCTAATTTATCTGGCAAAGTGATATCTGAAATTAATATTGAAAGTCCCTGTAGAAAAACTATAAATACGTGTTATTTATGCAGATGTATTTTATTATGATAGAATCAGTTTGGCAGTCAGCTCCAAAGCAGAACATTAAAATTGTTGGATTCTCTTTTAAAATAGGTTGAATTGGCAAGTAAGGAGCAAAATATCCTGTGGCTTATGTATAAAGATTATGCAGCAAGCTGTGTTTTTGCTCCTAAAGGTGTTGACCTTGCAACTTCAGTGTATCCAGTTTGAAATCTTCATGAGGGACAAGTGATGACATGTTTGCACTGAAGGTTTGGATTTCAGTCAGATAGGCTGAGATGCAGCTCTGCACTTTGGGATCAATCCCTAGAAAGCAAAATGCACTCGGTATAGTTCAGGGATAATACTTTCAGAAAGGCAAAGCATTGTAGGCATCTAAACTCTATTCTCACCTAGGTCTTTTAAACTGCACAGATTATAATGAAATCCTTGCCAAAGTGCTTAATTCGCATTTGAAAATGAGATTTGGGCTACTAAAACATACAAAAACTTTAAAAGACCTTATTCATAGTGCTGCGTGCATGTTCTGTGTACTAGGGGCAAACAGGGGATAGGACAGGTATTCACAAAGGGTAATTTAGTCTAGGGAAGCAACACTGCTCTGCTGCAGATCCTAGGACAAGTTGGTCAGAAACCTGGAGCATTTGTTTTTTTCTTGGTTGGTTCTCTGCAATCAGCACACTAGCTTGATGGCCACTGTGGGAAATGGCAGGAGAGTGGGGCTGGGTGATGGGAGCGCTCCTCCAGGCAGCAGCCTGGCAGCTGTCCAAGGCAGCACCCTCAGAGCTACTCAAGTAAGTGCTGTCTGGACGCTGAGGAGGTTTGTTCTAAAGGCTTCATGGAAAATTACATTTTAAGAAAGAATTTGAGGCAGAGAGAAAATTAATCTTCTTGCAAACCGAGAGAGCAAGTCTTTTCAGTTCAGGAATAGCAGCACAAAAGACAGCAAGCTGTGAAATGAAGGAGGATTTAAAAGCCTGTGGGAGGGAGAACCCAGCAAATCAAGGGAGAGAAAGAAGACATTTTGTATATACCTTTAAAGTGCAAGTTTGGATGAGGAAGGATGCTAGATAGGTGATGTAAAACATCAGTAAGATGTTCAAAGATATGATGCCAATGGTGATATTGGGGGTTGTCTGTGGACTTACCAATTAGCCTAAGGGAAAATGAGAGTGTCAGCATGTGTAATGTAGCAAATCTACCAACAGTGGTTTAAGAAGTTACTATCCATGCTGTCCTTTGCTGTTTTTTCACACAGCTGGCTTGCATGGATCCATGTGTTTGTGTCCCTCAGACCTTTCAGTGCCACAACTGGTAACTTCGCTTGAAACAAATCTCCTGCAGCAGCTCAATTAAAGCAATAGGCGTGCATGGAGTAACTGAAACTTGTTTCATCGTTCCCTTCCATTAGCTCTGCTTTGGGGCTTGAAGCAGCAGCAGATACGTGCTTGCAGGAGCTACGTAAAACTGTTGCAATAATTTGGTAGGTGAAAATATATCTCCAGTGAAATGCAGTAAGCCAAAGAAAAACAACAATCAAAAATTAATGACTAGATGAGTCTAGCCGAAGACTTGTACGTGGAAAGCTTGTGTCTTCTCCCTCCTCCATTCCCAAAGCATTTGCTAACTCCTTCCTCCTAA